CTATCCATCCATCCATAATCTGACTATCTATCTATAATCTGACTATCTATCTATCCATCTATCTACCTATAATCTGACTATCCATCCATCTATAATCTGACTATCTATCCATCTATCTATCTATAATCTGACTATCTATCTATCCATCTATCTACCTATAATCTGACTATCCATCCATCCATCTATAATCTGACTATCCATCCATCCATCCATCTATAATCTGACTATCCATCCATCCATCCATCTATAATCTGACTATCTATCCATCCATCCATAATCTGACTATCTATCTATCCATCTATTCATCTATAATCTGACTATCCATCCATCTATAATCTGACTATCCATCCATCCATCCATCTATAATCTGACTATCTATCCATCCATCTATAATCTGACTATCTATCCATCCATCCATCATCTGACTTTCTATCCATCTATCCATCCATCCATCTATAATATAACTGTATCCATCCATCCATAATCTGACTGTATCCATCATCCATAATCTGACTGTATCCATCATCCATAATCTGACTATCTATCTATCTATCCACGATCTGACTATCTATCCATCCATCCATCTATAATCTGACTATCTATCCATCCATCCATCCATCTATAATCTGACTGTATCTATCCATCCATAATCTATCCATCCATCCATAATCTGACTATCTATCCATCCATCCATAATCTGACTATCTATCTATCCAACCATCCATCATCTATCTATCTAGTGTTTAAAAGTAGTATGTTTTTGGTTTCTGAAAGAAGTCTTTTCTGCTCACCAAGGCAGTCTTATTAAATTATTTATGTCATATAATTGCTTGTCAAACTAAATGTATTCAAATTAATTTGGCCATTGTATTTATTTAAATACAAATACAGTAAAATATTCTGAAATAGCATTACAATTTATAATAACTTTTAAAATGTAATTTATCCCTTGATGCAAAGCTGAATTTAAGCATTTTACTCGTTTTATTTTATTATTTGGCCCATTTCATTTGTTGACTAATTAAAAAAAAAAAATCAGTTAATAATTCATTTAATAAAATAAAAAATAAAAAAATAAAATAAAAAGATTTGAAATCGGATTTAAAAACATTTAGTTTGACAAGCAATTATATAACATAGATAAATGAATAAGACTGCATCTCAAAAACTATTTACTATACAAACAAAACCTGTTTTGGGACTACATATAAATTATATACAAATAATAATAAATTCAAATAATAAATTACTTTACTGTAGGCTAAACATAATGTCATGAATATACAAAAGAAAAAAATGTGAAAAATAAATAGTCAACTAATTAAATGAGCCAAATAATTATAAAATAAAATATAAATAAATATATAAATAAAATAAAACACAAAGTAAAATGCAGAAAATTCAGCTTTGCATCACATGAATAAATTACATTTTTAAAAAACATGCTGATTTGCTGCTCAAGAAACATTTCTGATTATTATCAATGTTGAAGACAGTTTTACTGCTTCATATTTTTGTGGAAACCATCATATCCGTTTATTCTTCAGGATTCACAGATGAATAGAAAGTAAAAAAAACAGCATTTATTTGAAATACAAATCTTTTGTAACATTATAAATGTCTTTACTGTCACTTTTGACCAATTTGATGCATCCTTGATGAATAAAAGCATTAATTTCTTAAATAAAATCCTCCTGACCTCAGGCTTTAGAAGGGTAGTGTGTATATATAGTTGTCTGAGGTTTGAATAGTGTGATAAGGTTCAGCCAGGCTAGAGGATGGACTCACGCGTCCGTCCAGCGAGAGCAGGATGGAGTCGCTCTTGATGTCTCGGTGTATGACCCCCTGCGAGTGGAGATACGCCAGCGCCTGCAGCACAGCCTCACACACGGTCGCGATCTGCTCCTCGCTCAGCCTGAACACAAGATCAGC